CGGCTCTCCGATTTTACATTCACAGGTTAAATTTCTCACGCTAACACAGCCACCTTCGTGCGCCGACCTAGTGGTTGCGGCTCAGCAATCCTCCATTAACATTCTAATCTCTCACGTTAACATTCTAATCTCTCACGTTAACATAGCCACCTCAGCGCGCTCGTCGTGGAGGCCGCTCACCAATCTTACATTAACATGCAAATTTTTACCTGGCAGCCTTTTTATTGGTGGAAAACCCACCACCGTGGCGGTCGCTATCCACCACTTCGATTAACATTAGCTGCCCCGTCCATGCTGCTCACATTTGGGCTACGCCCATTTTAAACCTTTGTCAACAGTTTGCCTTTAGAAGCTAACCCCCTTTTCCTGATGACGACTGCAAGTGTTGCGATCAAAACGTCGTAGTTTTTTGTTATTTTCTTTGAACCTATCTACGTGATTTTACCGAAAGACCCAAAGAATATTCACACAGGTTTACGCGGGTTCGGTTTGTGCGATTTCACGTATATGCGGCTAACCTATTTCAAACCAAAATTCGCTCTCTGTGGTTTGAATTCACTCATATGTGGTCGGACGTGGGACAACATTGTACGTGTGTGTACTGTGTATGTACTGTGTGTATGTGTGTGTGTACTGCATGTGCAGTGTGTGTGTAGCGTGTGTGTGTATTGCATGTGCACTGTGTGTGTGTACTGTGTATGTACTACAGTATGTGTGTGGGGGACGAAGGGGGAGTTAGAAGTGGAGGAGGGGGAGAGCGTAGGTGGGTCATTAATTCCATGTTTAAATCCACGCAATATACGATATGCCAATATTAAGTAAAAAAAAAACTAAATTTGGAAATATCCTTCTACTATGACGGTTCCCCATACATGTGACAGTACAGTATTGAATATACCTGAAATCTAAGCTGTACTTTAAAGTATTTTTCTCTGTACACCTCTGAATTATTCCTCCACCGTACCTGGAAGCTAATCTGTACTTTGAAACCTTTTTCTTTATACACCGCTGAATTATCCCTGAAGGCGTTCTCCGAATTATAAGTTTGTGTACATTTTAGACTATCCTGCCTCGAGCTGTTTTTTTAATCGGACTTGACACGTGTACCGTGTTGTGTTCGTGACGCGCATCTGATTTTAAAACGAGACCCTTTAATCTCAGTGGGCTCTCACCCTGTTTCAATAAGATAATGACCCAAAGATTGGTCTCCAAGAATGACAATTTTAAGCCACTGACCATGACAATGTGGCCCATATTTCCTTGGGCTTTAATCTCCTCACAGTGTGAATCATTATTTTTCTTCTGCTGCTCCTAAATGTCTACCATCTGTACTCCTCACCGTTCATTCACTCCATAAAAACCAGACTCAGGACCATGCCCTATCCTAATGCACGTGTTTTAAACCCTTTGCTCGTTGGCGTAGCGTAGCTGGCGTGGGCCCTGGTGAAATGGATGAAATGGGGTCCCCTGCCCAGTTTCCCTCCCCCTCCCTGCTTCGTAGCCCAGAACCTCTGCCCCAATCTGGCCCCGTGGGCCCAGGTGCAGTTGCGCCGCCTGCACACTCGATAGCTTACGCCACTGCCTTCACGCCACTTAAGCCAACTGGCAGTGATCACACGCAGCCTTCCACCAAACATAATCTAAGGGAACACATGGGTCACTCAGTGACTTCACTTGGTTTCAGGAGACTTGGTTTCAGGGCCGTCTGTGTTTGGCACCCAAAGGGAGCTCCGATGTGAAGACACAACGGTGGATATGTTAACGGATCACACGTGTGTCAACGCATCCACCGTTGACTTCAACTCAATTGATGCAGCCTCGCTGGGTGGTGCTCATTTTACCGTTCCTGATTTTAAAATGGGTTGAGTCACTCTCTAGCTGGGCTATGTATGTATGTTGAACTTCTTTCGTGCCGTGCATAGACAACCGTGCTAATCAGAGGTGCGGGGGGGGGGGGCAACCTAACAAAACGCAAAATGCAGTTCTAAAGAGAGGAGTTTTCAATCTAGATTTAAAAGTGCATAGCTTCAGTCGCTTCCGAATATCGAGAGGAAGAGTATTCCAGACGGCCGCAGAAGCGCATCAGAAAGCGTGCGATGCGGTGACCATCTTTGTTTGATGGCTAGCCAAAAGCCACTGCGAGGATGACCGGAGTTCGCCTGATGGTTTATACTCCTTAATCAGATCAGTAAGTTAATGTTCATCTGTATTATATATTTATCTCTATATATGAATGTGCCTTCTCAATTTAAATGCGAAGTCATTTATAGTCCTCTGGTAATGTAGTGGTGGATAGAGGCCTATCCATGCCATGTAAGTTATATGAGTTGTTTGACCATACCCCATCATGCAGGTCAGTGCATGGTGATGATCTCAGGGGGTAGTCAGGACTGGTTCAGATTTAATTTGACTCCGATGTTAGCCATGGCCAGGAATCGAACTCGGATAACCAGGTTCACTGTCCAATGCATGAATCACTGCTCCACCTATTCCCTTTATTTAAGCGTAACTCTGATGCCCGGTGTCTTTAGTATGAAATAAAATATAACTTTTCTTATTAATAGGAGCAAGAGATTTATCACAATTGGAACTAAGATTTGGCTAAAGATCTTAAAGAATAATTTGAAAACAAATGCTGCTGCCTCTTGAGTGGAAAAATAAACACTTGTCATAAATCATAGCCAAAATGCAGTTTTACGGCGCATTTATTGAAGCATCTATCAAACATATTGGCCAGAAATCACCATGAATATTTATGAATGCCTTTCATAAGGTAGCATAATGTATGCATCACCAAAACAGATCAAGGCTTTCGAATTTTGGGAGCGTATGTTCGTAGCTTTCGTGCTTCGTTTGTAATGTCTTGCCAAATTAGCCGTGCATTGAAGGCCACATCACAGGTGGTGTTGGACTAAAGAAACTCATTGGAGGTGGTCAGGGGGGAGGACCTCACAGTGGCCATGTCGGTGCATTGAGCCAGAAGCACGTGATTAAACTATGTTGTTTGTTACACAATTTCATAGCATCACTGTAGAGTGTCGATTATTATGTGGTATTAATGTTTGAAAATACGATAGAACATCGATTATCCCGTAGCTGTCGGGGGGGAGGGTAGGGGGGTGCCGCATTTGTTTACTCAATGAAATTGGCATAAACAAACATACAAATAGACAAAAATATCATGTAAAAAGTTACTGTATTTATGGTATCGTACATACTACTCCAATCTGGAAGACTCTGCATGGAGTGATGTAGTACTTTACTACTATGCTCTTGTTTCAACAACATTTGTGTTTGACTTTCACCAAACTTGGTACAGCCTTTGTCGCGGTTTTTCCGGTTTCGCCAGATTCGCCAGATCAACTCGGGACCACCGGATTATAATGCTGGAAGCCGGATAATCGTGCGCCGGATAATATAATCGATGATAAGTTGTAATGACTTAGCATTTTAGGTGTGTAAATATAATACCTGTAAACCCATATGGTTTACCCGTATTCTTGTACAGGGAACTTGCGTTGTCAGGTCCGTACGGCGTACAGCCGTTTCAATGCAAGCAAACATTTTTTGTCTATTTGTTTGTGTTTCTCCCTTGTGAAGGGACTTTGTAGGATGAACGTTGATATTTATAAGGGGCACGGGGTGACCAATAAGGTCTGAATTGGTCTTCAATAATGTAGGGCAGTGATAAGGGGTTGACAGGTATCTTTGACACTCCAACTCTCATCAGACTCGTTACATCTGGGTTCTCCTTTCCGGGCATGTAGAGGACATTAGACTAGCTTCTTGACAAGTAGTGGTGAACCTTCGCCCTGGCAATTTGATCAATTATTGTGATTGCTTAATGGACTAGTAACTAATTGGCATGTTCTGTTTATGTGACAAACCTTACTAATTGGCTGTGTCGGGTGGTGGCGGGTTCAACGACACATTTATATTTATGTGATCTAACCCAAAAAAAACCTGTTATGGATAATATTGGTTGCGAAAGCCGACTACATGCTAAAGTGACGGAGGTTGCTTGACCATATTTCAACACGCTCATCAGTGCAGATTGGTGAAGCGAGGGTGCCTCGGACTGGTTCAAATATCACTCGCCACTGGTGCTAGCGGTGGCGAGGAATTCAATAATCACTGGGTTGTGAACCACAACTCCACCCACATAGAATAATATCAGGTGAATACAATCGATTCAGACACGCGCTCAGATGCATGTCTCGTGATTGTGAGAAGGGTTTTCATCCAGGGAATGGATGCATCGTTGCACATATGGGTCGCGGGTTGCATCTCCTGGCGCGGCATTCGAGAAAATGGGGCGCACCCAGCAATATAAATGAGTGCCCCGCAGTCAAGTCGGTTGTTAAGTCGCGTGTGGTTGGGTAAAGTGTAGGTGCTCCCACCTCTTCCAAGACATGTGGCCATTGTTAGAGAGTTGTGTAAAATATCCTCTAGAGCTTCCCCTTCGAGTGAAAGCAAAGGTGTGAGCAAGGAATTTCAGGGTTACACCTTTGCCAACAGGTCTCATAGCTCCAGTCCCATCGCCATTTTTAAAAGCAAAAGCTGGTTGCACACTTACATCTTCTGTTACTTTGTCACATCAAGCCACTCCACGGTTATGGTTTTGAGCTTGAACGTGTGGAGATTGTTTTTTTTCACACGTACTTGGAGGATGTATCCGGTCACTGTGGTTTCTTACACCGCACACATTTTCATCAAGTGCTTGCCCAAGTAAAGCTTTCCTTGGTAAGGTTTTGGCCAATTTCTTTCCTCCATAAATGTGATATAAGAAGGAAGAGACCTTCATGTGAACACACTCGAGCATCAGAAATATTGGAATGATTTTTGGAAGAAAAAAATCAAAGCTCAAAAAAGCCTCCAAAACGACAAAAAATAGAAATTACGTCCATGACACCCAAATAATGTTCTTCATTATCTCAAGCATTGAACCTGTGCGCTATTCCTCTCTCCCACTCACATGACACATTGCTTGACGTTTGCAGCGCTGGAGAGAAAGTTCTCGGAGCGACAGAGCAGAGAGCAGCTCATCCAGCGCGGCCTGCTGAAGGAGGCTCCAGAGAAAGGTCAGGAGTGGTGGATAACACTCTCGCTGCAGAGTGAGCTTACACAGGGGACAACAATTCGATCATCGCATAACCATAACTTTTGCTTTTGTGTACTTGTTTACCTATCTACCCTAAACACTTGGCTATCAAACTTGGTTGCTTGTTATCCTGCATGCATGCCAACCTTGGATGCGCCTACCTATCTACCAACCAACATTCTTTTTATCAATTGTACGCCAGTTTTACGATGTGCATGGCGTTAGGTGCCGTATTTCACTTTCTGGCTCTGCCACTTTGTGGAATGACCCGGACTGCGCATAATTGGCGTTCGTTGAAACCCATCCAATGAAGGCTCACATGGTGCAATGAAGAACGTCCTCTCATAAAGCCTCACCTCTTCTCTATTGCCCATTCTCTTCCTCTTCCCACCCCTCGCCCCTCCACTCCTTCCCGTTCCCCACTTACCCTTTCGTGATCCCCTAAGTACCATCTATTGTGGTCATTCATTCATCAATCCATGCACGCCCCCCCCTGCCATCTAAATAATTATATTCTGTCACTATTTCTTTAACCTTGTCCAAGCAGCCTTGTGTGAAGGCGCTCTAAATAAATATAAAATTAGATTATATATTTGCATTATAAACCAAACACATTGCTCGTCAAAGTCGCCGCGCGGCTCTCTCGCGGCCGCTCGTGACGCCGAGGCTGCGGAGTTATCGTGGGTGATGGTTGGCAACACTCGACGGCACGGCGCTTGCGCAGATGGAGAGGTCGGGCCTAAGGAGGGCGACGAGGGCGGCCACACGGCGGAGAACGGCCACACGGTGGGCGAGCAGCCGCTGCTGTCGGGCGTCGCCGAGCTGGAGGAGACTGAGACGGCGACTGGGTCGGCCACGGAGCCTGATGGTTGCCCCGAGCCACAGCCGGCGCTCCCTGAGGAGACCGGTAAGAGCGAGGACTGCGACAAAACCACCGAGCGTGCAGATATTCGTCAATCGCAAAAAAAAGTAGGCAGGCGGGTTCACATGACGCAGCGCTAACCAATGGGATTGCTCGATCCACTGATCGCTGGACAGTGAATCGACGCCGTGATTAAGTCTCGATTGTTCTGCGATTGATGAGTCGATGCAGTGATGAAGTCTTGATTATTCCGTGATTCAGCCCAATTGAGTGCATGCACATATCGTATGTGGACGATAGCTGATCCGTGATTTTGTCAGCTGTCCGATTTAATCGTATTAGAGCACCAACCACCGCTTATGTTTACATTTAAAATGAATGCTGCAGAGCAGCGGTGATGCACCTGGATTCACAAGTATAAAAACATTTCCTGCGATATAGCACATGCACAGTCGTTTGTTTCGCTCCACTTCTGGATGAAAGTCTCTCCATACCACGTGGCTTGAGTATTTGACAATGTTTCTCCATGCTAGTCAGTGAGGGTTGGTGAAGGCGTACTCAGGATCAGCTTAGTTATCCCTTGCCACTGATGCTATTCTTGGACAGCAATCAAAACTCGTGTTGCTAAGCGATTAAACCTGAGTGTGCTAACCGCTGCACCACCTGTCATATTACATGCATTTTATCACCTGCAAATCCTCAAGGTATTTGATTACATATTTGTGGATGACAGGATGACAGATAACGGATTTTGATTGTATGCATCATGATTAAATCAAATACAATTGTTTTTACTTTTTATATTTTCACCATAATAATTACTATTCTCTGTAAATCCTTGCTACCTATCTAAAGGCCGTACTTCATATCCTGTCCAGGGCTTGACTCAGACCACCATCCCGTAGGTGTAAATTAACAACTTTTTGTAGAACGGTCTACATGAGAAAGTGTAATTTCCTGCGTTGTATTTGTGAAGCACAACAGCTCTAAAATCATTGCACCAGGGAAACAACCTGATAGCCTTCGACTGTCGCATCCCATCCCTTTCGTTGCTACCTCCGGACACATTCCGAACGAACGCACACATCTGCAGATAAAATCTAACGAGAGAGCCGTCGATGTTTGCGCACTCCTTCCCCAGCAGAGCCCGGGCCGTCGCCAGCCCCAGCGAGCTCCACCACCGTGCCGCCTCGCACGCCGCCGTCTATGCCGCCCAAGAAGGGGCCCCCAGTGGCGCAGGGCATCCGCGAGTCGGCGGGGAGCGAGACGCCGCCGCCGTCGTCATCAAAACAACCGCCGGCCCTGCCGCCGAAACCGCTCGCTCGCCCAGTGCGCTCACATTACTGGTAGGCGCGCAGGAGGGGCACGGATTCTTTTCGGCGTTGCAACCGCGACCGGCATTATCACCGATGTGTGGCATCATTTAGATCACACGATTGCGCTCGATGTCACGAGAACCTGGCAGCTTTGTATGTATGTTGAAGCGGCGGCGTTGATAGCGATCTTGTTGTCTGTAGGGCTCTCTAGAGCTCGCCCTAGTCTAAGGCCCTTCTGTAAGGAGGGGAGTGAGCAGGAAACTGCCGAAATGCTTTTTGCCTTTCAATGGATATTGCCGCTAGCACGGTCACTGTAAACGCAGCGCTGTTATGAGTATGGGCGGTGGTTGTGCTGAAGGTGCCGCGTGCCTTTGTCCCTCCGTTCATCTACAGGGGACTCGGTCGGCCAGGGCGGTCGTTCTTCTCCGACGGTGCCCCCCAAGAAGGTTTCTGCCATCAGCGCGGCGGCTGCTGCCGTGGAGTCGACGCTGTCAGCTCGCCACAGCGCGGCCCGGCACGGCCTGGCGCACCAGATTTCTGCCCCTGCCTCCCTGGCCTCCACCAGCTCAACGGCAGCATCGCCGCACAGCCATGGGGCGGCACAATCGACACCGCAGGCCGCGACCACCACATCTTCCAGCGCACCCTTCCAGAATTCCACGGGGCACCACGGGCCGGCGATGTCATCGCCTTCACCGCACCTGTCCTCCCTCCACTCCCAGCATGCACCGGTGGGGTTTGTGCCCTCCCAGCATTCCGTGGGGCATCCCCTGAAGACGCCGAGCAGCGTCATCGAGGAGCTCAATCGGACACTGGCAATGGCCGCTCACCGCCTGGAGTGGTGCGTATGTGTGCAAATGGCCCACAACAATCATCAGATATTGGGGTGGCTAAAGCACGTGGAGTTTGCATAGTGGGGAGCACCAGGTGGTGCATCTATCAGACAGACCACAACATTTGGGTCTCCCCCATTGTTCTGACAGCAAGCCTCCACTATTCAGAATGAACCATACACCCCAATGTAAGACTGCCCTGAACACGACTGAAGACTGAGCTTTTTGGGGGGATAAATAAGAGCATTATTGTAATGCGACTCTTTCAATGCAGCTACATCTTACCAGCTCTACCATATGAAAAATAGATTGAATATTGGTTGGCTGTCACTTAATTAAATAAAACCAATAAAAACAGTGGTTGTCTTGATACCTGCTGTTAATTGGCACTGATTGATGCCGATTGTGCATTGACCCTGACTCATGTTTTCCATTGGCATTTATTAGAGCCCTTATAGGAAATCGGTAGCACATTTTGTGCATTTACATTTAGTTTTGCTACCGCTGATCGACACCTGTTTTACTTTGCAATGGATTGACAACTGTTGTTTATTGACACTGAGCCTGCTGCCAATTGACGTTTATGATTGACAGCTGTTACATAATTTATCGAACCCTGCACTACGTTTCCATGTCCCCTGTCCCCCACCGGCCGCCCCATCTCAGCTTCCACAGCTCGGAGTCGGCGCCAGCCGCGGTCCCGAGGGTGGAGGTGAGCGAGGTCCCCACGGTGCAGCTCCGCGTCAGGGCCCATCGTGGCGCGGCGGTGGCTGCGGCAGCGGCGATGGCAGCGGCTGCAGCGGCGGCGGCCGGAGGAGGACGCGACGGCGATGACGACGACGATGACGACGACGCGGCTGGGGGCTGCGATGAGGACAGCGACAAGGAGAACGCCTACTCCGAGTCGGACTCGGACAGTGAAGAGGGCGACGGGCCGGGCGGCACGCGGCTCCGCGTCAAGAGTGAGTTGAGACCCCGACAGGGCAGCAGCGTTCACTCGTGTCAGAATTACTTACTTTAGTTATCGTCTTAGTCTCGTCGACAACAACCAGCAGAGCTCCGAATAGCATGGTTGGCTGCGTATAGTGCAAAAGCAAAATCAACATACATACATATGGGTGTTTCTCTGTGGATTTAATGTATTCAGCATTCAGTAATATATTCCGGTACACTGCAGACTCTACACTATGGGGACCTCATTTGCCAGTAAAAATATGATAATTGGTTCTTTACCAGATAGAAGGGTAAAGAACCAATTATCACTGCAGACTCTGTCAACATGATTAAATTATGTTTGTCTGCATCTTCGTTCAGACAAGTAAGTTTCGTCTGGTCGTAGTCAGAGACCATGCATTGGTCTTTAGTGGAGAGTAGTCGTGGTCTTAATTATGCTCGATGATTTTCATCCACTCAGAGTCATTGTTGGCTCAAATAATAAACACTTTGTCAACGAACATGTTCATCACGACAGTGGAAAGGCTTATTCTTATTTTTAGCGAGCTACAAAAGCCAATGGGAATTTCAAGGTTTGATCAATTGTCACGTGTCTAGATTCGCGATTCTAATCAAGGGTCAATGTATTTGCCATCGTAGTGAATGCAGTGCCTTCAGTGGCTGCAGGGTTCACGTGAGCCCATTGCGTGCAAGTTATGCAAATTTAAAATCATCAATTTTCACGTGCATGATTGAGCGCATATATCGGTACCCTAAAAAAATAATTGAATAGATGAATTGATACATTGTCACGTGCCTCTGAAGCTGTTGCCGTTAAGACAGATAGCTCGGCTACCTTAATTTACAACCACTTAAAAAGCCCGATGTGATCAAAAGTCTCTCGTTTTAAAAAGGGTGTTTCATTGTTCCCAACCATAGAGAGAGAGAGAGATAGCCTTGAATCATTAACATGTGGAGACGTAGTGAGGCCACACCAGCAGATTGGTTTTCCTTTTCTGTTTGATGCAAGGGAATTCCTCATGCTCTTCACCTACCTTTCTAATATTGACCCTTTTAGCGACGATCCCGAATAAGGCTGCTGCAATAAATATCCACTACCTCTGATGGGTTTTAGTCGGCTTTGTCATAGTTTCACAATGCCACGTGCTTTAAATATCTCTCGCGATCATCGTCTTCACCATTTAGCCACGAACTGTCCACCACTCATCTTCTTGGTTCTTTCGGTAAAGTCACTTAGAAGGGAAGTAATAAAATAATAAAAATAAAACATAATAAAATATTTCTCACGACGTTTCAGCCACAACGCAAGCAGCCATCCTCAGGTGAAGACCAGGTCTGTCTCTCGTTTTAAAAAGGGTGTTTCATTGTTCCCAATCATAGAGAGAGACGCTGTCTCCCCGACAGACCTGGTCTTCACCTGAGGACGGCTGCTTGCATTGTGGCCGAAACGTCGTGAGAATTATTTTATTATGTTTTATTTTTATTATTTTATTACTTCCCTTCTACGTGACTTTACCGAAAGAACCAAGAAGATGAATCCCTGCAGTCACGAAAGCTTTAAATCGAAATGTCCACCACTCACCGCTAGCATGGAGGCCTCTCCGTGTTATCACCACTCCTCAACAGCGGTGCGACGCCACATTGGTTTAATCCCACCGCCGTTCCATCCCCGCAGTGGCCAATCCTCTCTTGTCACTCTCTCATATCGATCACCAAATCTCGTCCGTCGAGCGTTTTCCCTTGGAGCGATGTGGACTGCCTGAATTCACGTAGCAGTCTCAATGTCTCTCGTTTGCTTTTGCTCTGGATTCGAGTCCTCCTCTTTCTGTCGGGGTAATTCCGAACACATTCCTCTGCGTCCTTTGCACGGGCATTTTTCAGATTTTCTTTAATTTCATACGTCAGTGTCCCATGTTTTGATCCATATATCATAGCTGGCGGCATGCACTGGTTTGATACATTTCTTATTCAAGCACATTGGTGTGTTAATTTTCCTTGTCAAATTACATTTTCAAAAAGAATCGTAATATTGAAAGGCCCACTGATAAAATTTACATTTTCCAGAAGCACTTCAGGCTGCTCTTGCTCGCTTCTTCATTTCACCATTTGATCCCGGCATGCCTTCAATCATTGCCCTATATCTACCTTCATCATGTGATGCACTGAAGATTCAGCTGTAAAGCAAACGTTTGTCCCTCCAACGTGTCGCCCGCCCCCCATCTCCTGCGTTGAGCAAGGTTCCCTGGCTGCTAAGGTTATGCGGAAGGACTCGCTGGCGATCAAGCTGAGCAACCGGCCCTCCAAGGAGGAGCTGCAGGAAAAGAACATCCTGCCTCGGCAGACAGACGAGCAGCGCCTTGAGATGCGCCAACAGATCGGCACAAAACTCATCAGGTAGGCGTGTGCGCGTGTGTGTGCGGAGAAGTAGCGCGGTGGTTAGCGCTCCGCGTTATGATCCCGGCAACGCGCGTTCGATTCCCGCACAAGACCAACGTTGGTGACAAATATGCGAACCGGTCCTGGACCTCCCCTAGGTCGATTCAGCCTTAAATGAGTAACTGGTGCGGTGGGCATACATGATCAATAGGGCGATAGAGGCGACCACGTGTGGAGCTGGCACCCATGCCCTCTTGTACCATGTTGACCTTCATCAATATTTGCTAATTGCAGTTGCCCGAAAAAAGTCTATATGGGGGATCTTTGTTTATAGCGGTGCCACATGATGAAGATGGTGACATGGCCAAGTGTGAGCGCGCTTGGCCCTTGGATTTGCGGTTCAATCCCAACAGCTGCCATTTTCTCCACAGTGGACGTTAAAGATCTCGTGTCGTTATTAACAAACAAAAAACTAATAGGTCGGGGTCATGGTCCAAATTTTTCCCAATTTGATACATTACTTGCTATTACCTGATTGGGAAAAAAAATACGAAACATTTTTTTCCCCAACTGGCACACTAATGACCTTTTGCAGGCGGGTGCTATATACAGCTTATGCTAAACAGGGACAGCTGCACCTGGGGAGAGGGGGGGGTCCCTTGGCTAGACTACAGCAGGATATTCGGTTTGGCTGACGTGCTGTCAGGCGATTGGAGTTAATGAGCCATTTAATCAAGCTCCCTATACAAAAAAAGCCTTGTCGTTAAGGTGGTCAAGCGAGCACTCCACCAGCGCTTTGGGCCCAGCCGTTTGGCCTGAATTCCAGCGCCCTGAAGTCTGCGGTGGTAGTTGGTATCTGAGCGTGGTTTGGACTTCCTCAATGTCAACGGGGGGCCTTAACGTGCGGCAGCAGGTGGTGTGGTGTCGGCATTCGTGCCAGGGAGACCAAGGTGACCTGACTTGCTGCTGCTGCTGCCTGTGGAGGGTTCCTCCAGTCACTCTCGCCCCCTCATTCAGTCTCTTCCCTCGTCACATCGGAATGTCAACTTGTAACGTGCACAGTACTCGCTCGCTCTCAAAGAGAGAGAACGACACGGAGTCGTGGGGAGCCGGACAAGTGGGAAAGGGTAGTCAAGGAAAGGCAGCAATAATTACCAAATCCCTGCGGTCGTTTATACATGCAGATGTTATGGGATAATTAATGAGTGTTTGCATGTCGGAGAAATCCCGAGCACCCGGGCGAAACCCACGTGTGTGAGGGGGTTACACTCTATCCCATACAAATGGAACCGGTGATATTAGTCCACACTTTGCTGGACTAGCTTCTGGTAAGCTACGGTTTAGCACCTCCTCGGACACCCGTGGGGAAGGAGCTCAACAACCTTTGTGGTATCCACCAAACTTCGCTGCCTCTACAGTTGCTGGGTTGCAGCCATGCACAGCCACCACCGGCCAGCTAATTTATCACAACTCCCACAGTCATTGTTCCCATGTACTTCACGCCTTGGTTAGCTCCTCCAGTGTCAAGGGCTCATTCTACCAGATTTACTGTGTTACACTCGCCCGTGCTGCGTTCAGCTACCATGTTGCAAGAACAGTACATCTCCTTCCTTCTTCATTCAAATTGCTCCACTTTGGAAGATCCTCCCATTGTATCTCTTCCCGACTTCCTGTGTACAGGTAGCTTGTTAGTTTGCGTAAAATATTATATTTCAGAAAAGTGTACGTGTAAGCATCTACATAGGCAACATCGACGCTCAAGCCGTGTGTGAACACCGGAGGTGATGTGAGGTGACACTCCCTGCCCCGCCGCCCACCTGTGCGCACAGAGGAATTTAAATGTAGAATATTTTTGTCTGTGAAGTGTCCAAGTTATAAATAAAAAAAAAAAAATTCAACACATAACGTCAATAACACCATCGTAAAAGGAAAATGATTGCTAACAGGCAACGGCCCTTCTTTATAGCGTATAGATGCTGTGTAGAATCTATGCACAATGGAGAAGGGCCATTGCTAGAAATGTGATTTATTTTATGTTAAAAAAATAATGAATGGCAGGGTCATTTAAACAATGTGTTGCATTTTCGTGAATTGTGCTTTTGCACTGCTCCGAATGCAGGAGATCACCAAACGCCATGAGGACAGTTTAAATGGGATTTGTGTGTTCCTACTTGTTTGGTTAAAACAAAACGTTATAATGTCTGTATAATAGTTCAGCCTACGTATGCAATATACTGTATTGAGTTTATTTTATAGCAGCATGCAGGATGTGAACAGCTGAAATACGGGTTAGGGCAGCTCCTTCTGCAGATGTAAAATCAACTTCTCGTGTGTCTCTTACGCGTGTCAACACAAGCGATGCTGGGGTTTAAAGTCAGATTAGGTCACTGAGGAAGTGGACCTTCCCTTAAGATTTGGACAACAGCTATCTCGAAAGGAGGTGGCTTGTCAAATCCACAATTTGACTGTTGTGTTCCCCCCCCCCCCCCATATAATAACGTGTATTGATGAAATGACATGAGTGACTTGTGTCCGCGCGTCTTGTGTAGGCGGCTGAGCCAAAGACCCACGGCCGAGGAGCTGGAACAGAGAAATATTCTCCGGCGTAAGTAGCGCGATGGGGGTGGGGGGGCGTCAACGTACATCGCTGACGTCTTCACCGCATCACCACCGATCTACCATGCACTGCACATCTCCAGTGTGGTGGATGAATAATTCGTACTTTAATATGGGACCGTTCTTGCCAGTATCAAAATATTTAAAATAGGTTTTACCCATTTCTTCTTTTTCAAAGGATTATGTTGGGTGTTTTAACATCTTAACACCTGTTTTTAGTGACAGAAAGGGTAAAAACTTATTGTTACATTTTGATTCTGGCAATAAAGGTCGCATATTGTAACTGCTCGCCCCGAGCTATAAATGTCCTCATTGTGCTGTTCACCTTTTGGCATTTTTGGTCTTACACTTTGAGGCTAGGCTCAAAAGAAAGCTGTCTCTGGTGTGGACCAATCAGTTTTAAAGACAATGCATGTATTATCAGAGGAAGTTTTTTGTTTGCATTTTCACCACAAGTACGTGTGATTAATGCAGACAGGATTCCTTGAAAGAGGATTCTGTTTAGTGTTTTAACATCTTAACACAACTGTTTTATTGCCAGAAAGGGTCAAACCTATTGTTATAATTAGTGCTTTGTGGCAGAATTTTGGTGAGGGATTCAGCAGGTCATGTTGAAATGAACACCTGTTTAATTTTCAACCGTTTTGTAGTTTGCTTTGTCCTGCTCAGTTTAGGGTTAACATGAAAATGAACAACCTTAAAACTGCGCCAAGATTTACGATTTGGTGTGGTACTCAACATAAACTGGATGATTTAAAATGTATTTTGAAACAAATACATGTTTTGGTCCACCAACTTAAAAATAGAATGTATATTTTTACATCCATCAGCCCTTGAGATTTCCAGACCAAGATTAGCCAGCACCACTCGTTTGAACACAAAAACTTGGACCGGTTTTGACCTTCAGGGTCTCATCAGCAGAGAGTCATGCTTGGTAAACCAATGCTGCTGGGCTGGCAGATGTAATTGCCCAGTGCCATTTACCTCTGGAACTAGAAAATTGGTGGCACTCGTCAATGCAAAAAGTAATAACTTTAATAAACTCAATACATTTTTACGCGATATTACGGTAAAACAATAGTTTGACCGTTCATCCCTACACAAAATTAAAAAAAAGCTATGCTTTGTAGTCCATCAGCTCATTTGAGATGCATTGAGGTCTAGTAATTAAAATGTGCTATTTATTCAGTGTATCGCTATTTACTTTATGTATTTTTCATTGCTAACAATTAATGCTCAACAAACAGCTATCGCAGTGCACATGAAATGCGTAGAGGTTGGTCGCAGCGATACGGCGTCTGGCTTGTCCCAATGTTTCTTTTGACGTGTGTCCTGGGATTTTGAGAGCTGCCCCAAAATAACGGCACCCGTGCGGAATTCAGAAATGTTATTTGGAGATACAGTAAATCCCATTTAATGCACCCCTGTAGAGAGTGATAGAACGTTAAGCTCCTTTGAATTTAAAAGAAACTAACTTAACGGAATATCGCTGCCAAAACCAGTCGGTAAATGGCATTTTACATTGCTAAAGGGTATTTTAAATTGCAAGTTTCTTAAATGCTCCCATCTCTGTTCGCCCAGCAGTATAAATAGGTTCGTACACGACAGGAGATCCACAGGTCGTGTGCGGTGGAAAGTGGGTAATCTTACCTTTTGAAAGACGTACAGTTAGTGTGGAAGAGTAGGCCAAATAGCTTCTCGAGGGGCACCCTCGAGCTCCCTCAAGTGGAGGCCCTTGCACTGGCCGTGGAAATGTCAGATAAATAAATGAAAATAATTACGGATATAGATGACTGACCTCCTTCAACCTTTCCAACCACCAAACTTTTCGTGGACCACCACATGCCACGAGTCGTTTGAAACGACATTTCCTTGGTGAGGATGTTTTTATTTTAATTTTCCACGGACACCCCCCCCCCCCCCCCCATTATAGAAGCCTCGCGGACCACTAGGGGTCCGCGAACCACCAAAGGTTGGGAATCGATGGTTTAGAGTTTAAAGAGAAAATCTTAAATATGCTGCCGAGAATCAATTTGAGGATTTGTGAACGCGATAATTAGGCACGTAGGTATTCACTCCCTATGCACGCAATTTGATTCTTTGTAAAAATTCACAGTTTCAACTCGATTACAAAATATTGTCTCCTTTTTATTGCCTCGTGCATTGTTTCTTGTCCGTTCTCTCTCATTCATGTATAACATTGTCATATATATTATTTGGGTTTTCGGTAAAGCCACGTAAATAGAAAATAATAATAAAAATATCACGATGCTTCGATCGCAACACAAGCAATCGTCATCGGGTGACTTTACTGAAAGACCCAAATAATTCCTGCAGTCACGAAAGCTTTAAGTCAAGATTGCCACATTAGTTTTTCTTAAACATTTCAGTCAATTGTAACAATAATTCTTACACACACAAATCAATGCATTTCTCGTGAGCGTAACAATACCCTGTAATCACTTAATTAATGAATGGTTATAGTATTTATGTTAACGGAGGAGAAGATTGGGCGTGACATGGGTGTGGGGGTATTGTTTTTGTTTTTGCTTAACCCGTAACTCATTGCGTAATATCGCGAAAGTAGCTCCAATTTAATAAATGTAGATATATCTCCTGCGTGGCATTAAGTGCAGCTTGTTACGCGTACAAACGATTGCATGTGGACTATCAAGCCTACAAGTACGGCGCATTCCTTTAAATTGGCTGTATGCCTCCGATTAGTTTTTTCATGCAAAATGTAATTTTAATATTAAATATATTACAATATAATTAAATCGTGAAATATATAGCTGGCTCGCTGGTGCACAGGGCTGCTTCCCATTTCAGAGCAATGATCCCGCAGCGTTGAGATTCTGAGTTTGAATCCAGCCGGCGAGCTGACGTTCAACTTGGTTCTCGAGTGTTGGCGGTCTCTCATCCTGGTCACCAGTGATTTTTAGAGGGGAAAATACATGATAATTAGTCAATTTAAATTGGTTCTAGATTTGAAGCTTTCGTGACTGCAAGGATTCATACTCTTAGTTCTTTCGGTAAAGTCACGTAGGTAAAAAATGAAATTGAAATTAATAAAAACAAAACAATAAAATCACGACGTTTCGGAGGCAACACAAGTCTCCGTCATCAGGTGGGACCGTCACAGCACGATTAGCTGCATCAAGTGAGCTAATCTGGCTGTGACTGTCCCACCTGATGACGGAGACTTGTGTTGCCTCCGAAACGTCGTGATTTTATTGTTTTATTTTTATTAATTTCATTTTTTACCTACGTGACTTTACCGAAAGAACTAAGAGTATGAATTTAAATTGGATCAAACACACGCATAAAGCCATGATATATAGGACATGATGGTGTGCTCTCTAGTGTGTGGTAAGGAAATCTAATTGCAATTACTCTGAAAGCATTTGAGCGGTATCATCTGGGTCCCGCTACTTGACATGATGTCATGTTTGGGTGGCTACAGGAACCCTTTGTCTCATGCGATAATTTTCATTGCACAATTACAATGTGAATGGTTTTAGCAGGTATGTAAATTGGCGTGATGTTTTTTTTTATCTGCATGAATTACAGTTAATTTGCAATGCCATGGATTCCTGCCATCAGGGTGCAAAGACACAGTCCTGCAAATGCGCGATAATGAGCTGCGGCCTTGATATCACACGGTGCCGATGACAAATCCTTCCTGTTTAATTACTAGCATCACACAGAGGGACCTGCTTGTCAATGCTGTTGTTTTTGTAGTGAAGAATGAAGAAGAGGAACAGGAAGAAAAACAGGAGATTAAGCGACGCCTGTCAAGAAAGGTAATGCGACTCATCCCACGTGAGCCAAGTAGCAGCAACTTGACTTTCCTTTATTTAGCCGTTGACTATGTACGGTGCGAAAGATACGTACAACTTACATCCAGAGAAAGCACAATTATAGCCTGTAGTTTGTTTTCTTACCTACTTGCATTAAATTTTGACTTAAAGCTTTCGTGACTGCAGGGATTCATATTTTGGTTCTTTCGGTAAAGTCATGGGAAATAATAATTATTTTATTATTTCCCGTGACTTTACTGAAAGAACCAAGAATACTTGCAATAACTTCAAGTCTCCCCTGAAACAAATAATTGATAATTTCACGAGCTCTCACCCAATTATAAATAAAAGCCAACTACTTACACTGAGAATAATTATAGCCGCACAAAGCAAGACTTGGGCCAAACTACAAATCTGACTTGTAATAATGTCTTGTTATCGTAACTATGTTATAGTTACATACACACCTCCTTCGTTTGAAATCAGGTAAGAGCCTGTTTATGCCTAACGTTTATTTTAACGCAGGAAAGCCGTTTGGCATGTAAACTAATGGTCAAAACAATTAATAATCATTCACCTCCAGTGACAGTTTTTATCTTGCAAAATTAATTTTCTGGTAATTTTGGAATTGGACTGAAAAATATAAAAAGTGACATCATTTTGATAAACGAGGTCCACTTAGCAGCCGATTTTGTTCTTTAAAAATGCCCTGCAGAAATCACCTGGACTAATCGCCGAGTTACCTGACCAGTGCGATGCTCATGACACCCGTGCGCTCACTGTCACATTATTGAGCGCGGAAGAAAACACAAACTTACCTTTGGCGGGCAAGCACACATATACACGAAATATTTCCTAAGATGCACACAGTGATGGATAAAGATCACACATGCATAGATGTTCGCGATTGTGCCGTACGTGCTCTGCGTTTGCGTTTCTGGGCTGTACCGTGTTCTCTGGCACGATGTCCGACGTTTTTGCTTCACGTGCTGAGAGCTTCTTCAGAATTCAGCAATGTGGAGCGAAACGTCAGACATCGTGCCGAACGACGCGTGGCACAACCCGAGAACACATCGGAGCGCTTGGGAGAGACACCGTTTGCGCGCTGGTTGTACCTGTGGCCATGGGTCATACGACGTGAGGTCGTAAATGGCCCACGAGACCGCGGGTTCCCCACGCCTGGCTTAAACTCCTCTCCAACTTGACCCACAGCTGAGCGAGAGGCCCACGGTGGAGGAGCTGCGAGAAAAAAAGATCCTTATCCGCTTCAACGACTACGTGGAGGTGGCGGATGCCCAGGATTACGATCGGCGAGCTGATAAACCCTGGACGCGCCTCACTGCCGCTGACAAGGTAGCGACGAGGACAACGAGGGGGTTTCCCACGGGAGATGGAGCCTTTGGGTAGACCCAGTGCAGGTCACTGTCCAATAAATTGCGTCGGTTTCCTGTTACAGTTGAGAAGACATTTAAATGTTGGTTTACTGACAAAGCATTGAAGGGCTTAATAACCTCCATGAACAGTGTCCGTGATCTGTATAAGCCGTACAAGTTGTCAAGAACTCTCCACTCATTTGATGTCCGTAAAGTTTGGTGGTTTTGCACACTCCTCGTCGTGGTGGGGCGATCGTGGGGTATACCTGCGCTGCGCCGGTGTAAAAACAATATGACGTTGTAATTTGCTGTCGAGGTTTGATTTAAATGCGGAGTGTAATGCAAGACAAACTATGAGGATACCTTAAAGGCTTGCGTCACAGATCGATGCATTTCATTGAACACTTTAAATAGGATTTGGCCCATACATATCAGTAATGTGCAGCGTTGTGGGATGCAATAAGCATGAATGACGTGATGTAAAATGAAATTGTTATTACTTTAAAACACCTGTGGCTGGGTCCCCAGTCATCAACAAGTAGCCAGCACAAAACTACACCCGGCACTTAACGCTAAAACATCTTGATAACTTTGCATTAATAAAACCTAATCCCGTACTGTACATGCCTATACTCTTTGCTCGGGAAGCTTTTGCAATTATACTTACAGAATAAAATAATACACATTGCAAACCATTAGAAAGAATGTAGGAGAACTGCCTTACACAACATCACCTTTACCAATGTTATCCAAAACTCAACTCTACCAAGACCTGACTTGTGATAAAAAAAAAATCTGCATGAAGTGAATTTGCGAATTATGAGAATATTTATTGTGAAGCAGCAATTTTAAGAAAGCAAATTGAATTTGGTCATTTGAAGGGAGCGATTACAGTTTTAAAATGTTATTGGTCTGGATGCCAAATTCAATGAAGACAATGGTTGTCAGTCGGTGGCTGCGAGTCGGTTGTTGTCAGTAGTGATTGTGAGTCGGTGGCTGTGAGTCGGTTGTTGTCAGTCGTGATTGTGAGTCGGTGGCTGTGAGTCAGTAGTCAGTCGTGGCTGTGAGTCGGTGGCTGCGAGTCGGTTGTTGTCAGTCGTGGCTGTGAGTCGGTGGCAGGGAGAGATGGCTGGGCAGCTCAGGGGCTCATTGCGGATGTTGGTGTGCCTCGCCATTGAACCCTGTGGTTAGCGCACTTCACTCTGAACCAAGTGACCCGAGTAATAGTGGCGGATATTTGAACCGGTCCGGGGGCTACTTTAGATCAACTCAGCCTTAAATAAGTACCTGCTACAGTGTGTGTATTCTTCTGGGGAGAGAAAGGTGGCCGGGCATGGTGTTGGCCACCCATACAACAGTTTATGGAGGCTACATGGGGGTTCCTTTGTCTTTGTGTGTATGCATGTGTGGGCGCATCAATGTGTGTTTAGTGTACATTGTGTGTGGATTTTCCTTGGCCTACATCGCTACAATCTGTATGCCTCTTTATCTTTGTTGTGTGTGTTAGGCTGCAATCCGCAAGGAGTTGAATGAGTTTAAGAGCTCTGAGATGGAGGTTCATGAACTGAGCAGGCATCTCACCAGGTGAGTTGCCACCAAAGGTCTTGTCGTGTCAGGTTTGGCGATGAGAGTCATCGCCAAACCTTGTCACATCCAACACCCCACTCGAAATCCACCACACTGCTGAGGCGTACACTTCCAGTTCTGTGCTCTTTTCTAAAGTAATAAGCCGGATGTCACATTTGACGAGTTTCATTTCATTCCCAGCTCGAACAGCTACATAAAACACAACATTCATCTAAATTTGGCTTTCTAAAAATGTAAGTCTCATTGAGTATACGCAGAGTGATCCGCTGTGTTGATTAAATGAATGTAGAATTACTCTTTGGTTGTTTCGGTAAAGTCACGTAGAAAGAAAAAATAAATTAAATAATAGCATACGACGTTTCGATTACAACACAAGCAATCGTCATCAGGTACAAATGAAATAGAAAAGAAACCTAGTAATCTTAGAAATATAATGCAATACAACACAGAGAGTCGGCTGGTTGATTACGTTCTTCCAAAGATTGCTAAATTTGAGAGAGAGACAAAGCACAGACACGGAGACACATAGACAGAAACATAAGCAGGGAGAGATAACACAGAGACACACAGAGAGAGAGAAACCAAACTGCAGGAAATACTAGAGAGACAACACAGAGACACACAGAGAGAGAGAAAACACACTTAATAAAAACAAACTTAGTAAAATTTGGAAATGCAATGCAACACAGAGAGTCGGTCAACCCACAATTAACGCATAGCCTGGTTGATTACGTTCTTCCAAAGATTGCTAAATTGGAAGTTAAGTGTGAAATTTGGAGAGAGAGAGACAAGACACAGACACAGAGAAACAAAGATCGACACACAAGCAGAGAGAGACAACACAGAGACACACAGAGAGAGATAAAACACACTTAAAACCTCCCCGGAGAGGTGGTTCAAACTTGATTTAGAATATTACATTTTTACATAATATAGACCTTTTAAATATTCTCCAATGCATTAGCATGCCACCTTTGGGTCATAACACGAGATGTGCAACTGCTGTTGTAGGATAATGGACAAATGCTGTGGTCTCTACCTAGCAGCTCACATTTGATGCCAATTTCTGTATTTTTGCTTGTGCCGATCTGCCAAATTAATCCTCAGAGCTGGGCCAGACCAATTTACTGCAATTGCAAAACCAAATTAACTCCGAGGCTCCTTGTGGTAAAATTGAGAGCATCACATTCCCTAGGTATTAGGATTAAATTTACTCTTGAGGTGCAGGGGGGGTAGCTTCCCAATTGAGTTCAGGAACTCAGTGTTTGAGGTTCAGCAGCTCCCAGGGCAGGCAAACAAAATTTAGGTGCGTACCGCCATGCATTTCCAGGGAACGCGGCTAATGAGCTCGGCGCATGTCCAATTTAACACCCATCGCGGAAATTCTCACACCGGATCTCCCTCCTTTCTGTCCCTTGCAGATTCCACAAGCCGTGACCCTGGGCCCACCCTTCGCTGAGCTGTGAATAGTGTACATTTGACTGTGGTGATGTGGCGTGCGGAAGAGGCGTGGTTCGGCGGAGTGGAATCGCGGAAGCCGTGGAGACGGCAGAAGATTTTTTTTTTCCAGCAGCGACATCAAGCGCGACTGCCCTCGTGTGGTGATGTGGGTGTTTGTTTTGTGGGTGTGAGTGTCCGTTGAGTGAGTAAATACGTGCGTGTTGCATGGCCATGGCTAGCCTCTCCTGCCTTGTCCACCAAGGTCAAACGTTGGCGGATAATTCGGGGTGTGAACTTTCAGTGAGCTTAGAAGAGGAGCAGCAGGCAAACACGCAGCACAGGCAATTGCACCGAATATACAAAGGAAAAGAAAAGATTCCCCTTACAGCCTTAACAAGTGCTCTTAGTAAGCACCTTTGAAGACCGGCACGGCACACGAAGGGGGTGGGTGGCCGAACGCCATGCCCGGCCACCTTTGTCTCCCGAGTGGTGATTTTTACACAGGTACTCATTTAAGGCTGAGTCGACCTGGAGGAGGCCCAGGACCATGAGCTGAGCGGGAATCGAACTCGGGTCGCCGGGTTCGTCGCACAGCAAGCTAACCGCTAATCTACCACTCCCCACACACCGAATATACATGTGTACAGAAACAGCTATCATACACACACATTTGTGTTAGTATACAGTATCTGGATGTATGTTTGCGTGTGCAGATTAATTTACCTGTATGTGTATTCACTTAGAGATATTGCAATGGAGGTGTCATGAGAAACTGCATACGTGTGACAGCTTAATAGCTTCACAATGAGTTAGAGGCCAATACTAAGACAATGATGCTGATATGCGTAAAACACTGCAATGTGAAGTTCAGATTACTGCTTGCCCTTTAATTACCTTACTGCACATTAAAGTTAACCTACGGTAATTCATTCATGTAAATTGTACGTAAGAGTGCAAGAGTTTAATATCCACGCACAAAGGCCAAGCATTTTCCCTCTCACCTCGAAGGCCGTTAGGGCAAGTGCTGTTAGCGAGCACCAACAACGATTGAAAACATGAAGGGACCGTGGTACCAGCACCACGTGTGCTTGGCCACCTGAGTCTCCCCCACCTGTGCCGGTTCAAATACCAATTACTGCTAATGAACCCCCTAGTTACCGAGATAGCAACACGGTGCACCGACCACTTTACCGCTTCAACGCACATCAACACACACACACACATTTACTCATACACACCAGACGTGCTCGCACCCACACGCGTGCTTGCACACCTTGCTGTCTGGTTATGTCGGGGGGGGGGCTCCACAGCTCTCTCATCATAGGCAGCTGTGGCGAGAGTGTTGAGGCCCAAGGGGATATGGCTTTTTGTCCTCATAATAGCTTCAGCTACGGCCATGCGTGCACATTTAAATATTTTGTATGCCTGCGATACACCCCTACAATAAATGGGAAAAGTGGCAATAAAATATTACGGACGATAAAATCCCTTTAAAATCCTTTACAATTGCAAGGCAGAGCGATGACAGTAGCAACAAATAAATGGCCCTTTTGTGCTGGCTTTTTTCCCTCCCAGCATCCTGCCCCCCCCCCCGTCACTGTTGCACGCTCGCTCTGCACATATCACAGCCGAGCTTTGAGAGCAGTTGTCCACTTTTTTTAAATCGTGTCTTTTATTTATTTTTTGTTCACAAAAACGCTGCAGACCACAACACTTGATCCGATTGTCGCTCGACTTGAAAAACCACTCGAGGCAGTTGACCTGTTGCATATTGACTCCCATCATTCGCATCGGAGCCAGGCAGGCATTCGCGCAAGCCCCTATCTTTGGTTGGACAGATGCGAGCCAGAAATACTTTCTCGCTCGCAGGAATTGTCATCACACGTGAATGGGATGCAGAGCCGCGAGCTTTCTTACTTGAGTTCTGCTGAAGAAGCATTTGTTTTCATAGGTCAATATTTTTTCCCGACAGTATTTGTGCATCCACATATGTGGTCTTGGCCATTTCTTGCGTGTCTTGCGTGTTCATATGAGCTGTACATTATATATACACACACATACACGCACATAATTTAGTGCACACAATTTCCGTTTGTATATATGCAATATAAGTTTGTGTGTCTGAATTAAATGTATATGTACAAACACGTAAATATATATTGCACGTGCAGTACATGTTTATTATTTTTACACGTGTGTGTGCTATATATTAAATATTGGGGGAAGTCAACGTTTTGAGAATGAAATATTGAAAGAGTTGTTCCTGCTGAATATTTGCCTTATTTTAAAGTTCCATCTGAACAAATCAGGTAATTGAATGTGTCCTTTGATACAAATTGTTCTGTATTTTTAAAATAAGTGTGAGTGTATGCTTACTCTTAATATATCATTCTCATGACTTTTTGACCACGCTTTTTGCTTTATAGATTAAAACACAAATTTCATGTTCCGTATTCAGTGGTTGTCCTATGGATTAACTGGTCTCCGCCATAGCAATGTGGAATATCTACCACTGGCTCAGGACTAACAGTAGAAATTAGTTCTGCCCATTGTTTGAAAAATATATATTTAAAACACAGCATTATTTTCCAATGTGCCGTGTGTTTCAGACAAAAAAAATGCCCCTGCCCGATTGTGTCATCTCCATACCCAGCCTGGGAGCGGATGAACAATGTGTGTGTAAACTTGTGCAATGTGCGTTAAACAAGGTAACGTCCCTGCCTACCCAGTAGAAGTTCCACCAGTTGTAGTTAAAAAAAAGAAAAAATGCACACGCTATGGCGAAAGACATTCGGCCCCTCTAGTATCCTGCGAAAGCTGTGCAATGTATGACAAGCATCCACTTAAACCTAACGTAGCCACTATGCTTATACATTTGCTTTATACCAAAAAAACTCAACCCCTTCATCATTAACACTGCCTCAACATGAACAAAATATATAATTGACGATGTTTCAGGCGATGACCCTTTTTTTATAGAACATTAAAACATTTATACCAGATGAGAGCTCACTGAGACCAAAAGAATATTCCAGGGGAAACCGGACACGCAGAGGAATACAGTAAACATGTCAACTAATCATTGAAACGTACAGCATCAGGCTTAAGACATGCACGATATTTGCCGTAATGTTTTGCCCCTTTTGTCCTCTATTGTACAACCGGTGTCATGTCATGAGGTGAAGAAACCGCTTGCAACTCTCACAGAGTATGTGCAACCTGCGATGTTAGAGAACAGCCCACAGAAGCAGAAATTGCAGAACGACTGGGATTCCTTCAAGTGATCCCTGACCCACACACAAGTGGACAGTGCTGGTAATGTTAATCGCTTTGACAGTGAAACCACTATTTAATTCTTAGAGCTGGAATTGAGCCAAATTAAGTGCAGTGCCAAATTTAATCACGTTTTTTTTTACAGCAATTGGCGACTGTGCTGAAACCATCAGCGTAGTACCCTCGAGAGGGCAGTTTAATAGCCGGCGGTGGCTTCGGTTCGATCTGAGAGGTCGCAGCGGTGCCACGCTGGGACCTCTGAGCCACCTGGCCACCTCTGCCAAATGTTATATTGATCGTGTTTGGTAATTTCTTTAGGACGTCTTTTTGTGTTTAGTGTGTTGTCCTTCCCCTCCGCCCGCGCCTCCGATTAGCACGGTTGGCTACGTACGGTGCGAAACAAGTCCATACATCTATTTATATATATTTTTTTGACATCACGCCCAACATCTCGAAACACAATTATGACAGTGAAATAAAGATAAAGCAGCATACTACTTATGATGTTGTGTTACTCTTGACACAACTTTAAAAAAGACTATCTGTTGGTATTTTCACGAGGCTGTTGGTGACATGGGGTTGTTGAGTATACGCACACCTTATTTGTTTTGCCATGCATGAAAATTACTGTGCAGTTTTGTTTCCCTCCCATGATATTTTTAATGGCCTAATTTAATGTTTTTCAGCTTAGTGTGTATTATTTGGCAGAGTGTGCTTAAATGCGTGATTGGAAAAAAGCCCAGTTTCTTAACGTAGGCGAGTTAAATGAGACGTACACGTGTGAGAGGCCAGTAAGACTAAAGGAGACCTGGCAAGGCGTAATCAAATGATTATTAAAGCGACAATCTTCACAATGTCTCAGTGGTTTAAAATGTACATTCCACAATTTATCAAATTAGATAATGGTGGTGTCTGTAATGGTACCTTGTAGTGTACAGGCATTTGATGAATTTAAGAGAGGGGGGAATAAAATGCTTAGGAACGTGTAAAATAGACATTTTTATTTTTTCAGGAACGTGCAATGTTATTAATGGGTTTTACCGCAAAATGCTTGAAAGTCATCGTTTGGATAGTGGTCGTCTTGTAATGGTGAGAAAAGCGTGTTTTAGTAATTGTGTGTGACTTGATGAACGTGCACAATTAAGCAGAGTATTTTTTTTGTATATTGCATTCACAATTCACCATCGTTCATTTAACAAGGTTCATAATGGGGTCGTTTATCTTTTTTCAAGTGAATCCTGAGTAATTGGAGAAGTGTTGGACCATCACTTCTAGTTTGTAGTTCAACTGGAACTCGTTTTCAAATTCGTGATATTGGCTGTAAAAAAACGACACACGATGTCCACTGTCACATCCTCTCTGATGCCCTCTGTACACAGCCAGTGGCATGCTGTGGTAAATTTGGTGCGCAGCTTAGCAAATGAATGTGGGAATCGAACCTTGTTTGTGAAAATGGCCTCTGTGGCAAGCGCGCTTACCACTTCACTTTTCAGCTTCCCTTTTCGATAAGTTGTTCTCCAGACAAGGAGAGAGGGTTATATTGTAGTAGAAAGTGTTACAGTGAGATGGTTATTTACGTATATATGAAAGTTACATTAAAACGAAAGGGAGATTTGTGTTTGGAGTGTAACGATGTAGTAAGTCGTCACTTAATATCCAGTCTTAAAACTAATGATACATCCATCGAATCACGTGTATAACAATCGGATTTATTTTTCCCCCCATAGGAATATGTTGCATATTATGGGTTAATGTGACATCTACAGTCACTGGCGGGCAGTAACATTCACGGCATCGTTCCAAAAAATATTTTTGGTTCAAATCATGACTGAATTGTAACAATTCACGGGGGAGGGGGGAGATTGTTACACCCCTATTTCTTACGCAGTATTATGTGGAGCAATCATTTCTAGAGCGAGTAAAGATGAAGACAGAGAGAAAGTAAACGTGTGCACAATGCCATAGCGTTGGATCCCCATTTCGTTTTTTTTTATTGACACAAGCTTCAATTTGTCTCGGCTGTTATCGCCCAGCGTTCTCATAATAACGCGATGAGATAAGTCATTGGCGTCAGTGCGAGGCACTCTAAACGCACCCATCACGTCACGCTTAATTGGAATAATCGAGGATGTGCTGACATTGGGCAAATTGCTAACAACCATTGTATAAAACAAACTCGCACGGGTAAAGCTCGTTTGCAAAGCGGGAAATTCATGCCCATGATTTTAAGCCAAGCAGGATTGATAGAGCTCATTTGGAGTGTTCACCCGAAAGACAACTTTCCAGGTTGTCCCACATTGACAAGGAACCAATGTGAGCTCCAAGGGTCAGAGGGTCACGTTGACATTGTTGCACACTTCACTGTTTTGCTGGCTTGGGTTAAGCGGTATGATGAGGATTGTGGTAAATGTCACTGCCATTCTATTAATGTATGTCTTTTTATTACCTCGTGTTTTTTAATTTGAAGCCCTTGTGAATCTCGTTGAGTTTTGTTCGACAGAGCTACAGCTTCAAAGATTAAGAGTGTTGTCAAGAGGCTGTTGGTTATTTTATGCCATTTTTATCCCAAGCGCTTATGACAATGGGTTTTGCGTAAAGTTCTTACGGCATACGTGCGTTAAGCCAAATAAAATTAAAACCCACTAATATCAGGAATACTGTTTATATTGGTTGTGCATTCTAAGCAGCGAATGCCTCCTGTGTGTACACTATGAAACGTAAAAGTGTACGATGTTATTAGTTGAGAAGGATGCGGGATGCATAATGTTGAAATTTGGATAACGATGGCTCAAGCGCGTTTTCAAGTCTTATTTTGCGATCGTTATTCATTGGTCACTCGTATCTTTCAAACATCTGTTGATTTGTAATAAATTGTGCAAATATTGCCAACCGGATGTTTTGTATGTATAAAAAAATACATGTATAAAAACCTGGATTTATTCATGGGTGATAGTTCGGGTTCTAATCGGTGCTGGCTCAGGTGGACTTTTAATGGACTTAGCGTTCATCTCCTGAACCAACTGGCCACCCACCGCTTCAATCCATCTTGAAGTCGTCATCGTGGCCATTGTCGGTGGGTGAATCGCCACTGGCGTCGAGAACACTTGATCTTGAAGCTCAGAAATTTGAGTCGGCCCTGTACGAAGGAGACAACTCTATGTGAGGCATCTGCTTGTTTTAATTGTACAGAGCTGAATATTTATTGAATGTTTTGCTTGCTAATTCATAATCGCTTGTTTTGCAACTCGCAATGTTGGTGTGAATAATTATCCATCAGTCATTTATAGAGAGCCATGGCATTTAGTTCAATTTAATTTAGGGAATTTATTGCTAAGCTTACTTGACTATGTCTGATTGCAACATATACATCTCATACTTAATATATAACCACTTAATGGTGGCTCTTTAACCGCTGACTTTCACAGAGATGTAAACGATTAAAATTTTATTTATTTAAAGCATTTAAATTAACAATTTAGCAGTGAAATAGCTCTTTATAAGATAATGTGTCCCGATGCATAATTCTGAGTACCCTGAAGTGGGATGATATTAAGAACATTCGAGGACAAAGCTATATTTGCATCCAGCACTGTACTACACATTCAGTGATGTATTTCATGTTTGAACCTTTAAAAACAACTTTAATTTGGTTATACAGAAATTAATTGCGGCTAAATATTATGTTGATGACGAGATGCTCTTGGTGGGTCTCATGGTCATATTTCAGACATTCGAGAAAAAAGCACTTGTGTATTGTTGCCTTTGTATGATTGTTAAACCCTCTCCTTTTGTGTACTGCATTTCCAGTCCACCATCTCGTTGCTTTGGCTTTGAGCCCATCCAGCAGGAAAACACGAGTGTACGCAAATGATTCTGACGCATGCCCTAAAGTTTTTGAGTTTCGCTAGGTTTTAGCATACTAGTAATGAATGATGTACTTTTTTGTAATAATAATCTCATACCAGTACTAATATTCCTGTACATGTATGCTGTGTTAACCTCTCACTATTGACGTTCCCATGGCACTGATGTCCACACAGTGTCAATGAAAAACCACTTTACTGTTGCTATAAATATTTTCGTCCCCTGGGAGATGCTTTGCATAGCATTTGCCACCACTTTTCAATAGACATCAGTGCTCACCACTCTCTCTCTCTCTACCATTGTTAAGCGCAATTCACAGTTTTTCAGATAACTTTTGTACATTCCCTTTAGGATAACGCAGCCGCGATGCCAATATTTAATAGCTGGAGGTAACCGCTAATCATCAAGCTGGCTCTGCTCTCCACATAAAAATGCACCACACGTCAAAACAGATCGTCACCCTGCCCGTGCAACACAAGTCGTGTCTGCTGAATTTAATTGTTTTTTTTTAAAGAAAACATTCTAAACAGAAGGTTATGCACCTTCATGAGCCAATGTTTTCATTTAAGAAAAATAAAAGCCCCTGACTAACTTATATGGTTTTACAAACTGATATCAGCAATTGAGTTGTGAACTGATTTTTAAAATATATTGGACTATTTCCTTTTCCCAGAATCACATCACTCTCTTTCCTCGCCGGGTGTTTATCTGTGTTACTGTGGGCAGATCTTCACTTGCCTCGGTCGTGCGATGTCTGCATGGTTCAAAAGGAGATTGTGTCGAAAAGGTGAGCACGTCTGGCTGACTTTAGCTGGGTCCCAAACAGATCACAAGGGCCGCACGTTTTCTCATTTACGCTTGTGTTTCTTAAACATACTTGGCGCGCGCGTGTGTGTGTGTGTACACGTGTACTTGCCTGTATCTCAGTGAAAGGATACGCTTGTTAAATAAATTGTAAATACTGTATGTTTTTGAATGTTATTTTAATTGTATTTATGCTACTCTAAATAAAAAAAATGCAGGTGCCCCTCATTGTAATGCCCGGTGTGTGTTTGCTTTTTGCACGCCACTTGTGCTGTCGTTGTTAAACGCATATGGCAAATGAAGTCGTATATCGTGGAACTCTTTTTTCCAGACACTCCCATTTTTTCAATAAGGAAAATGGCTAAGTTTAAGAGTATGAACCTACACGAAATACACCTGAAACTAATGAATACTTTTGTGGTGAATAAAACAATGTTTTATTAGCAATGAAAAACGTATAACCTGCTGTCGAATTTCGCAAGGAATTTAAAAAGGTACCCACTTTTTTGTAAAACATTAAATGCCTTATGATATAATTTATAATAGGACGACACTGTGTGCCCGCAACCCACATTATACAATACTCTACTCGTAACACATTCCTGCGGAGGGAGCTGGTAAGAACGTTGGGTTGCTCTGTCGATGGCCAGGGTCAACGGCGGCGTGGTGTATTCCGCAAATATGGTCGACTGTGAGGGCGGGCACAAGCCGGCGTGAGTAGGTTAAACGTTGAGTTTTATAAGGGCACCACGGGGTGACCAGCCCCTCCCCACCCAGCCCCTCCCCACCCAGCCACTCCCCACCCTCCCCTCCCCACCCAGCCCCACCCTCCCCACCCAGCCCCTCCCCACCCTCCCCTCCCCACCCAGTCCCTCCCTGCACGACGGACGGACGGACACAATAATCTCCTGTGGGCTGGTGGAACCAAGTGGTTCCTACCAGTAAAAGGAATGTTTAGTCAGGTTCCCATTCCAGTTCCCTCCCACGTGTTGAATGCTCATTCATGAAATTGTCCAAACCTCTCAGGCACAGAACCGTGCTGGGACATTAGCCTTGAGAGGCCGTGAGACTGATTGGGGCACACGTTTAGTCTTTAGTGCTGCGCAGTATCATGGGGAAGAAACCAAAGACCGTGCAGAGCATCTGTTCTGTAATTTATTTTTGCGTATGTTATAAATTGTATATGAATGGGATAGGTATATCATGTTGATTTGAAGCTTTCGTGACTGCAGGAATCGATACTCTTTGGTTCTTTCGGTAAAGTCACGTAGGTAGAAAATAAACTAAATCACGACGTTTCGGGCGCAACACAAGCGTCCATCATCAGGTGGGAAAGCGTGGTCTGCTGCTGAGGCAGACTTTGGATTACACCCGTTGGGTTGCACTCCCTCGTCACATTAACATAGCCACTTCTGTGCCCTCTAATTTCTCACATTAACAGCATGCTAATCCCTCACATTAACAAAGCCACTTCCGTGCCCTCTAATTTCTCCCATTAACATCATGCTAATCCCTCACATTAACATAGCCACTTCCGTGCCCTCTAATTTCTCCCATTAACAGCATGCTAATCCCTCACATTAACATAGCCACTTCCGTGCCCTCTAATTTCTCCCATTAACAGCATGCTAATCCCTCACATTAACATAGCCACTTCCGTGCCCTCTAATTTCTCACATTAACATCACTAGCCCCGGCCACTTCTTTATGACCCTTGGGTTACACCCATTTCAAACCTTTTAAAATAGTCTGCCACAGCAGCAGACCATGCGTTCCCACCTGATGATGGACGCTTGTGTTGCGCCAGAAACGTCGTGATTTATTTTATTTTATACCTACGTGACTTTACCGAAAGAACCAAAGAGTATAGGTATATCATGGTTAATAGAAGAACACTGTGTACATTTTCAGATAGGCTCATAAAGAAATGGATGCAAAGCAGATATCCCACTTAAACTATTTTTAATTTTACCCGGCAAGACTCACTGCGCTATACAACTTGGGGTGAGTACTGTTTTTATGCGCACCTATTAAGGCAACTTCATGACCAAAGCATTCGGAACGAACCTGATCTTTGGCAGATCTCGAAATCTATGCAGATCCTTGAACCTGAAGAAGGCTTCAATGGGCAAAAGGTCATGAGCCAGTAGAGGGCAGTTCAGGCATCTTAAGCTGTATATCGCCTTCGCCACCCTGCACGTGCCAGCATGGGGAAGTATGGTCGAACAACACCCACAATTCTGCACGGCATGGTGAGACCCTGATATGGCAGTGGATTATTATTTTTTAAAAGTGCTGCACGTTTTAAAGCTTTCGTGACTGCAGGGATTCATCTTCTTGGTTCTTTCGGTAAAGTCACGTAGAATGGAAATAATAAAATAATAAAAAATAAAACATAATAAAATAATTCTCACGACGTTTCGGCGACAACGCAAGCAGCCGGCTGCACGTGCCCATTAAACCCAGGGTTGCCAGTGTTGTAGGCCAGTAAACTAGGCAGCCGGCTACTTGCGTTGTAGCCGAAACGTCGTGAGAATTATTTTATTATGTTTTATTATTTATTATTTTATTATTTCCATTCTACGTGACTTTACCGAAAGAACCAAGAAGAGTGCTGCACGTGCCCATTAAGTTCAACCAAGGCACGTGCGAGAGTGGTGCGGCCAGAAACACAAGCAGTCGCTTCTATATCTCCTGTGATGTATCACCACTGCAGATTACAATCGTTGTGGAGGGCAGCAATCAAACTCAGGGCTGCCAGTGTTGTAGGCCAGTAAACTGGACCTGCCACCCTTACTGGTTTTCCCATGGTCATCCTCTTTATCAACGTGGCTGTCTGTAGAAATCTGTCTTTTTTCAGTTGTGTAATATAACTTTACTCGAGACAATACAGTGTAGTTTTCCCCTCTTCTGGGGTTATAAAATAAATCTATAATTCCCACATGTACCAGTTTGTTTTGTACCTAAGAGGTGGCAACCTTACAGTGCACTAACATCACTGCCATCCCACGAGACCCACAGACAGTTGGAACAAATTCACACAGCTAAAGCCAAATCAAATTAAACGGCACGTACAACATCTGCCTTTGGCAACCCCAGCACCTCCATTATTGTTTTTTCCCCTCTGCTTTAATGGGTTTCCACTCTCCCGTTCCCACGAACAAAGCAAGCCCTGGCTCTCATTCCGCAGTGGGACCTTTCTGTTGTTTAAAAGGGCTCGATATTGACCAGCAGTTTCCATGTAATGGCCTAATAATTTAGGCTTCTGTGCGAGTTCACGCCTATTCTTTGTTTGTTTACGTGCATTTTAGTTTTCATTTTATTAAATGTTTTTTTGATTTATGCACCAATTAAGGCCGATTTGTGTAATCTGGTCACCTTTATCTTAAGCGCCGCGTTGCATATGTATGTATGAAGTGATTCTAAAATTTTCTGTAGTTAATTTCCAATGGTTGTTAAAATTAAATGCAGTTAGCAAATCTGAGATGGTTAATATTCATGATGGTTAATGTGTACTTATTTATTTCCAGCCACATTCAACAGGTGAGTATGTACGTTGAACTTCTTTCGCACCGTACGTAGCTTACCGTGTTCATCAGAGGTGCGGTGAGATCGGCTCAGTGAGCAGGAGCTCGGTGTAATGTTGCGTTACAAAACCACGAGAGGTGACAATCAGAATATTTATTTATATTGCAGGAGGAATCCGATGAGCTATGAAGCTTTTTCCCCACAGATGTCCAGTAGGGTCAGTTCAGAAAGTTGAACAACAAACAATACAACAAACACGTCTGGAGTGCAAAGTATAAAAACGTTAAGAACGTCGCTAAAAATAAAGTATATGGGTAACGATAGCAAAAGTATATCAATTCCCGACGATTTTTCAACACTAAATGCAAGCTTGGACAAAGCAGCAACACAATAACAAAAAACAGTCCCAGACTACACCAACACACAGTTCCTCGATAAAATTGCACATTCGATTTGCACTGTCGATACATGGATCAAAGTTGCAAACCACATTTGCAAATGTGGCTTGGGGATGCCTTTATCCAGCACTAGATCGATGATGGATGATTATGATGATTATGATGATCATGGATGATTATGATGATTATGATGATCATGGATGATTATGATGATCATGGATGATTATGATGATCATGGATGATTATGATGATCATGGATGATTATGATGATTATGATTATGATGATTATGATTATGATGATCATGGATGATCATGGATGATTATGATGATTATGATGATCATGCATGATTATGATGTGCCATCTGAAGTGGAGTAATAATCCCGGTATACATCGGGGATGCGTACCCGAAAGGTGCTGTTCGCGACGTTGTGGCTTCAGGCGACGAAAATCGGGTCGCAGGATTAATAAAGTGACGACGCGTGTGTGAAACGACGTTAAAGGAAGTGAATCGGGGTATTTCCGAACATGAAAAGGCGAAGACATCGCCCTGTGGAGCTCCCTACAGACGGCGAGCCTCAAGTCACCGCGTTGGGCCATGACCCTGACACCACAGGACCACTTCAATGGGAGTCTCTTCAAAACACGCATCCTTCTATGGCTTTTTGGTGGGTTATGGGGTGCCCATTCATCTCTTGATGGAAAACAGTTCACGTGTTCGTTCAGAACTGTTTAAATGTCAGCTTTCTCAAAAAAATGTTCTCAGACAGTGATCTTGTACGCTGTGTCAATCGTTATGTCCTCTTTATAATTGAAAGGCAATTGTCCAAAAGGTCGGCTAATGAGTTTATGTATTTCTGTTTGAAGGCAGTTTTAATGATCTAAAGTGGCAAATTTTATTCGTGGCTATCTATTTGTATTATATAAATAACGAAATAAATGTCCTTCAAGCATTATATCAGTAAGGTCCGGCTTTGGGATGCTTTTAGCTATTAGGTGAATTCGTGTTTTTGTTCATGAGGGAATAAACCAGGAGGACCTTGAGAAAACTCACATGTACAAGGGTGTAACACTCAGAGCCACACAAAGATAGATGCCGTCATCTCCTGGGCACCTCCCTTGCCCAAACCTACAACACCGACCAGACTTAAAACTCTGCTTAAGCTTCCGACGTCTGGTCGGGTGCATATCGCGATGATTTGTTTGTAGGCAACAACTTTTGCGCAGCCTTTTTGTTTGTTTGTAATAGAAAATCGTCTTGATAATTGTTTTTTTACCCTTCTATCTGGCAACAAA